AAAGAAAGAAAGAAAGAAAGAAAGAAAGAAAGAAAGAAAGAAAGAAAATAAAAGAAAAAAGAAAGTTGGGATTGGTGTTATACATTTGTAATCTCAGTACTTGGGAGATGAAGGCCGGAGGATCAGGAGTTCAAAGTCAACCATAGCTACACAGTAAGTTTGAGGACAGCCTGGGCTAAAAGAGACCTTAGATCAACAAAACAAAAGAACAACAATTAAAAAAGGAGGAAAAACAAAAAGAGGCAAGGAAGTGGGGTAGAAAAGGAAGGAGGAGAGTTTCGAAGTCATCATAAGAACACACACAGCCTGGACGTGGTGGCGCACAACTGTAACCCCAGCACTCAAGAGGCAGAGCAGGCGGGCAAGTGTGAGCTGGAAGCCAGCCTGGTCTACAGAGTGAGTCCAGGACAGCCAAGGCTACACAGAGAAACCCTGTCTCAAAAAAAAAAAAAAAAAAAAAAAGAAATACACAGAGAACTAAATCAAAACATCAAATGGTTTTTCAAACAGCAAAGTCATTCCTGAAATGCTCAACCTACACCATAAAAGAGAGTAATATTACAATTGGGGGGAATGAGGCTCACGTAAGGAGCATAAAACCGTATTAAATTATGAGCCTTGCACAGCATAACACTATCATTAGTAGATATTAAAAGTCCTTATCTTGCCAAATCGCGGGAGATGATAAAAGCAAACAACACATGGCCTAAAGAGCTAAGCCAGACAGCAAGGAAGACAGTCAGGAACTATCAAAGATAGTTGGAAGCAGTAAAATTAAATGTAAACAAGAACAGCCCTTTGTTATAAAACAAGATCTTTCCATTACATTACAGATTCTCTCTAGCTAAATCAAAGACACTCGCCCCAAAACAAAAACCATAGAAACAGTTAAGCGACAGAACAGAAAAACCAGGGGAACACTAACTTGGGATAAGAACTCAGCACAAGAATCAGAAAAGGACATCAAAGTGCAACCATACTGATTAAAGCCCATCTGCAGGGAATGCGTGTGTGGGGGTCTGTGCAGCAGATAGTGCTACATCACAATATGAGCAACCGAGCCCAGGCAGACCTGGGAATATTACAGAACGGCAGTGTTTGTGAACCGTTAGCAACTCGGAGTCTGACAGAGATAATGACACTAAGATTGCGAGTCCTTGTTCAACGTATTGCTGACCATCATGTTTGTGAGTAATGTTAGGGCTGTTAGTCCTTACGCATAGAGGATGATAATCCGCCTAACTCAGCGGAGGCCGCCCTTGTTGTAGTCTACTACCCAGTGTCAAAACGAAGTACTAATTCAAGTTCGGGCGACTACTGAAAACCTCCCAATGAAAACCCCGTAAGTCCCCAAACTAATTCTAAAAACCACCGTGGAATAAAGAGAAGCAGTGAGTGTACACATTAACACACATGCTGGCTCTAGATTTAATCTACAGGATTAATCAGTAACATAGGCAGGAGTGTGTGAAAACAAATGTTCGTTTATATGGTGGAAGTACAGAAAAAAGTAAGTGTATAATGAGAAATATCGATACTCTTGATAACATCATCAAATGAAATCTCAGAATTAGGAGCTGACACAGTCTTTTTTACGGTAAGAAGAGACTGTCAGCAATTGATGGCTGCTGAGAGAGAATTAGATTTCCCTAGGGTGAGCCCTCTAAGTGGCTATCCAGTGCTCAGTCCTCCAAACAAGAGCAACACTAAATGAACTCAGGTTGTATCTGTATATTTATATGTATGGATACATGTAAAAATGATAATTAAAAAAGAAAATATGAGAAATGATATGCAAGAGGAGAAGGGGGGCTTGGAAATAAAGGAGGAATAACAGTGAGGAGATAGCAGGACATGACAGTAGGGGACCAATGATGATGCAGGTATGTTACATACATGTATGAAATATCATGATAAAACCCATTAGTTTGAACAATATTAAATGTTAATAAAATGACAAATCAAAGTGCTTTTTAACAGCAATGTTTTTCCAGGTGGGAAATTTTTAGATAATTTAAGTCTCCATTCAAGGCACATATCTTCTGTACGTCTTCACACAAATCTTTTTTATTTAGTTAGTTATTTATTATTATTAGTTACATTTTATTAACTCTGTATCCCAGCTGTATCCCGCTCCCTTATTCCCTCACAATCCCACCCTCCCTCCCTCAGCTTCTCCCTGCCCCTTTCCAAGTCCATGGATTGGGGAGGACCTCGCAGAAGACATCTGAAAGACTCTACCTAGTACCGTTTCAAAACAGATACTAAGACTCATAACCAAACCTTCAGCAGAAGAGGAGTTAGGATGACGTGGAAAGGATAGGAACCCCACAAGGACCAAATATTTCTGGGCACAGGGTTTTTTTCTGAAACTGTTTCTCCAACCAAGGACCATGTATGGATATAACCTAGAACCTCTGCTCGGATGTAGCCCCTGGTAGCTCAGTAACCAATTGCTTTCCCATAGTAAGAGGAACAGGGACTATTTCTGACAGGAACTCAATGGCAGGCTCTTTGACCTCCACACCCCACAAGGGAGGAGCAGTCCTGCTAGGCCACAGAGGAGGACTTTGCAGCCAATCCTGAAGACACACAAATCTTTTTTTAAGCTCTATTGGGATTGACAGCTGAGCATGTCTGAAGTTCTTTCAGCAATTTCCAGCTCCCATCACATGCACTCAATGGACGCCACAGGAGCAGGTCTTGCTTAGGCATCAGTTTACCTCAGCAGCCATTAATTAAGCATGATTATTAAGGGTCAGCTTTGTGATGGTACCTGTGTGGTCTATGAAAAATGACTATGCCCTCCCTTTCCCCTTCTAGAACTTAGAGTGGAAGAGACAGATAAGAAAATTGACATATAAAATATGCCATAATGTAGATGGTGGTAAATGATAGGCCGTGGGATTCAATGATGAGGGAAATGACAAGCCAGGTCCCGAGTGGCCAGGCCTAAGAGGCATTATCAAATAGTCTATGGGGCTCAGTGAAGGAAGAGCCTAAAGACAGAAGGCGCTAAGCGCATCCTGGCTTATCGTAAGAACAGTAATGGTGTCAGGGTGTCCAGAACAAAAGGAGCGAGTTGGTGTAAGGTTCTTGTGGAATGTACACAAATTACCCTTGTTAATTCAAATGCTGATTTCTCTACCCCACTATCTGGTTTCAATCTGGACACTGACATTGCATTGTGATGTTATTCTAAGTATCACCTGTCTCAAGTTTGTGTAAACATGCTACAATTTGTTCACTGTATTGTCAATAAAACAACCAGCCAATGCTGAGCAATGGAGAGAATAGGGTGGGACATCCTGGTCCGGAGGGGAGGAGAAGGAAGTGAGTGGGAGGAGTCAAAGAGGAGAGATCTGCAGGACCGGACTTGGAACCATGAGGAGAGATAAACCGGAACTAAGATATGACTAAGAGCAAGTATAACGTGGAAAATCTGAATGGGGGGAAACTATGTGGGCTTGGAGGTTTAGGATGGAATAATAAGTGTCCAGGATTGTGCTCTAGGTTAAATAAATAAATCCTAGTCTCTGTGTGGTGATTTGGGTGTAGAGCTGGTTTAGGAAAAAACACTGTTTAACTAAAAGATAAATCAATAGTAAATATTAATGATCAACAACAGGGAGAGAAGAGAAATGGACCATGTCTTACAGGGCTTTGTGCTCACTACAAGAGACAGGGACGCCCCCACATCAGATGTCTTATGTTGTGTCCTGGTTAGTTCTTTGTCAATTTGACTCAAGCTAAAGTCTTCTCCAAAGAGGGAACCTCCATTGAGAAAATGCCTCCATCAGACTGGCTTATAGACATTTTTTTAAATTAGTGATGGATGTGGCAGTGTTGCCGCCCACAATGGGCAGTGCTCCCCCTTGGGTCAGTGATCCTCAGTTGTGTGAAGAGTAAAGTGAGCCACAGAGAACAAGCCAGTAAGCAGTGTTCCTCCATTGCCTTCGTTTCAGTTTCTGTCCTGCTCCTGTCTTGGCTTTCCTCGGTGATGGACTGTGGAAAATAAATAAACCCTTCCTTCTCCAGATGCTTTTGGTTACGGTGTGTTGAGAGCCAGGCTGGTCAAGGCCTTTCCCTGAGGCCCTGATATATAGAGAAAGAACTTTGTCCCTTGTCTAAACGCTGGTACACGCTTGACAGAGCCAGGAGCAATTTGGACCAAGGCCTCTGGGGAGCTACAGTTTGCTGGATCCTGAAAACCCACTTCCCCCACACTCCCTTGAAGAGCTGTGGTTATTGGTCCCGAGGCTTTGCACACTCTGTCTCTGATGCACTTAAGATATCCTTTGTTCCCTTTGTGTAACACTGCTTGATGAGCTTCCTGCTCGCTTTTTCCTAGTGTATGACAGTTTTCTGCTGATTCTGTCCCATTTTTTCCCTGGCATAGAAGATGCTGTATTTCTTAAAGTTGCTTGGCATAAAGCATAGCTTATGTAAGACCCTCATGATTCCAAGCTTCCCTGTCTTCTTTGTTTCCTGAATCCCCTGGCCCTTCCTGTCAGGAACCTGTCATTAAAAAATGACTTCCTGGTCCAGGTCAATGGAGTTTATCACAGCAGTAGGAAACTAATACAGGTGGCAAACGTGTAAGGGGACCAATTGGAATGGTGGCTTTAGAGCGGTGAGAGCGATGGTGGGGCAACAAGTGGGTGGGTTTGAGATACACTGAAAACAGAGCCAAGGGACCTGCTGAAGGACCAACTGTAGCATGTAAGAGAAATACTCTCAAATCCTGTCATGGATGATAGCAGGACTGGTTGGCCAGTAGGCACTGAGATGGGATCAGGAGCTCAGTTTTAGGAATAAAACAGTCAAAAGGCAGTGAGATATTCAAGAGGAGACGGCCAGCAGAGAGTGAGTTGACAGGCCCGGACTTAAGAAACTCGGCTGCAGACAAAAAGTACCGAATGACCAGTATTAGCCATCAGAGGGCAAAAGGGTCAGTGCTGTGTGAGGGCCACAGGAGGTTTGTGAGAACACACTTGGTAGAGGCTTTGCTCTTGGGGAGCTCACGGGACAGGGGGAACCCATCACACAACGGACTCAGGACTTACTCGCACACTGGAGTGACTCCTTCCCCAAGAGAGTTTTGTCGCAGCCCGAACACTGCAGAACCCCGGAGAACGTTCCCGGGACAAACTGATGTCGGTTCAGCTTTTCTTTGTCCTTCGTGTCCTTGTTTTTCATCTTCAGAAGCAGCAGTCATGAGGGAAGAGCACGGGAGGAAAGGCAGAAAGAAAACCGTAGTCAGCGGACTTTCTTACAGAACTCAAGCATCAGCGCGGACTGGCCCCCGCATGGGGTTGCCTTCATATTCCTAGATACCTGACAAGAATTGTCAGAAAGGTGCACATGCTGTCAAAGGTAGGCGATTGAAAGGAGACGCGTGCAGAAACTACACTAACTGCTGAGGACTGGAGCCGCCTACGCAAAGCAGATAGGTTCAGACCAGGAATTACCTTAGATTTGTTCCGAGGGCTGGTCATCCTGTTCATGAGGAAGCTGAAAGTTCGGCTCACTTTGTACTTTTCAGACTCTGATTTGGCAGGAATGATGTATTCATCCCATTCTTCTTCCTGAATCCTACAAAGAAAGGAGTCTGTGACTAGCTTTTACAGGACAAAAGGGGGACAAAGACAGCATGAACATATGTTTGTATATACACCTGTATGGGTATGGCTAGATTTTGCTTTAGGTTTAAATGGCTGTAAAGAGGGGGAAGTAAAGCTACTTCTTAATTAAAAATACATCCTATTGCGGGATGAGGAGCTGACTAGGTTTGATGAAGCACTATATCACAGCGCCAACAACTGTGGAATCCAGTAGAGTGAGTAGCCATCATACACTTGTTTCCACTTTTCTATATTCCTGAAAATTATACTGAGGTGCTTGGGAAATGGACTTTTATAATATTACTCTGAAAACACTCCTCCAACTTTTTAACTTTTTAACAGAGAAGCTAAACAACTGACGGCATGGAGGCAGGTCTGTTTATCTCGGGAAAACGGTGGTGGTTCTGTGGTTCTCAGTGGGCAGGCGCTTCGTTTCCCTGGCTGGGACCAGCTGAGAAACAGCTTTGGGGCCTGCAGGTTCCGCCCCTCCCACTCAGCCAGGCGGTTTGCAACTTGAGGCTCTAGGTCCAGGAGAGAGACAAGGCTGCACAGGCTGCAAATTGGAAGTAACTGTACCGCCATCACTTCACTGTCCCCTAGTTCCTGCGGCCATTGCTAGAAGGGACAGACTGGAGTATCTCAAAGCGCAGCTAATTCCTGGTCACCCAACTCTACTTCTATTCTCCGGGTCACAGAAGATTTTATCAAGAGACTATTACTTTTTATTAAAAAGCTGTAAGTCGACCTTCTTCAGAATGTTATAAAGCAATGCAATTTAATCCTTAGGCTCACAGTAGGGGAGACCTAAACCTAAGTGTTAGCAAATCAACAGGAAATACTAAGACGTTAGAACCGCCCCCCAACCTGGTAGAGCCGTGGCTAGCATGAGCCGCTGTTGGACTGAGAATGGGAGGAGTGCTGCCTCTATGCAAATACAGGAGAATGTTTTATTCTGTGTTTTAACCAAATTCGACTGTGCAGTATTCCTCTAGCACGCAGCCGCTTTGGACAAAAACTCAGTTTAACTTCTAAATTTATAAATAAAGTCTGAAAAAGTTCTTTCCAACATGCCAAAACAAACAAACAAAAAAATGTTCAATTTCTGGTAGCAGGCTAATGACCAATGGTATTCCTTACCATAAAGTCTTATAAACTCTACTCTTCAGAAACTCTCCTGACACCTTTTCTCAATAGGTAAACACATATTTCAAATGTGTTAAGAGTGTGGATCTTCAGATCTCAACCTTATCGATTTTATTGATAACCTATTATTTTCGATGAATTGGATTCAAAGTATTAAGGTAAATTTCCACTTGCAAACTGAGGCTCAACAACAGTAGTAGTTCCCTTAATGCTTAGATGTTTTAAAGCTAATTAATTTAATTAGATGTAATTAATTTAAAACGGACAGTTGTTGACAAAAAAATGGCCTATACTATATAAGCGTCAGGGAACTGGGAAAATGACTTGTCTGTTGCAATGAGCCTTCAAGGTCTGGGCTGAGTCCCCTTTTATCTTAGGTATGCCTTTTTCCAGAAACTGACTAGTCTAAGCAAGGGAATACCAAAGACGCCGGCTCCATGAGCAATTACCTACACAATGACTAAGGCATCAGGTGTGGCACCTCCAGCAAGACACCAGGAATAGGGCTACGGACCAGAAAGATCTACCCTACCGGACCCTACTGGGCCCTCTAAGTGCAAAAGTAAAGGGGTTTGCACCAACATAGAGAAAAACAAATCAAAAACAAAAGTGACAAGAAGAAAGACACTTTCTCGCCACCCCCTGCAGGTGTCATTACTGCACGAGCTGTGACTCGACCAAGTGTTACTCGGGCCCCTCTCATCCTAACCCCTAACAGAAAATATTTTTACTTAAAAACAATTCTTAATTCTTACAAATCAGTCCACTGTTACTACAGCTGTTAGAGAGACAGGATTCACTAAGGCAATGAACTGACAACCAAGGTGACTGTCAAACTCCAGTGTCTGGAGTAAACTGCTTAAATATAAACTGCTTACAGCAGCACTAGAGAGGCACATACGATCACCCAATAACTGTCAGTTACAACTGCCTCGGCTGCCACCATTGTCATCCTCTTTGTCATAATGCCATCCTTGTCATCACGCCACCCTTCAAGGACATTCTTAGTCTTTCTGTTTGTGCATCTGGAAGCTTCTACTCTAGTCTAAACAATACAAATGAGCCGGAGGTGGCTTTCTCTTACTGATGTTTTCACTGTGATATTGAAAACAAAGCACTCATTTTTATTTAGATGCTAAGAAGCTCCAGAGTGCTAAGATCCACACCACCAAAGTTACGGCTACCTCACCGCTTCCCAGAGAGTCCTTAAGGCCAACCACTCACGCCATTTCTGTCGTTCATTCTGCAACAAGCCTAGGGCTGCTTCAGTGGGTGGCACGTCCCAACAGAACTCGGCCACCCCACCTGCAGCCTGGCATCTTCCCAAGCGTGACTATGGCACCAGCCTTCCATTCTAGGATACACACCAGCTTGGGCTTCAAGCCTCAGACCTGCACAGTAAGTAGAAACCCGGTAGTGCTGAAGGCAGCTCATTCAGCAGATCCACAAGGTCCAGGTCGGACTTACTTGCAGGCTTTCTACAGCCACCTGGAGGACTGTTGCTATCTTCTTATAGTAGAACAGATCAGAGAAAACCTGGTATCTCTGACGCTGGTGGTCCTCACAGCCCCTCGAGATGTCCAGATCTGAAAATAGCCTAATCCACAATCCCCTGTCTCCAACCCTGCAGCCTGTACCCCTAAGGATGGAAAACAGATGTCTGGCTAACTACAATGATTCCAGAGAGAGAACAATGGGTCTCAGCTCCCTGCACAGAAATTTGTTACCAACTATTAGACATAGGAAAAGTGATGTATAGACATTTCCAAAGGTAGCTCAGTGAACCCTACAGAAATGGGAATCCTCCACATACCTTTTTTCTCCTGGTGGCTCCGGAAAACTGTAAGATCTCTGTTCTGCAAGACACACACACATGAAACAACTGAGACAAACTGTAGTCACTTGTCAGTCTGAAATGTACATTATACTTATCATTTTATACATTATCGGTTAGAAAAACTGAGAAAACTGACATTCTGCATGTAAGGCTTTATTGCTGTCCCTGGATTGGAGGGGAAGAGTTCGATCTGATGACTTCAGGGACTTTGTTAGTCTCAACAAAGGGAAGCAGACAGTTTGTAAACAGTACAGAAAATTGGTTAGTTTTGGATACTTCTCACTGAAACTTCATCCATTATTTATAACAGTAATCACCAACACAAGGAATCAATAACCTGCTAGTTTTCAGCAAAGCTCTAAGGAAGTCTTGAAGGCCAGCACAGGAAATAGTCTATCTTTATGCAGCTGCAATGTCTTGTAAAGTCTTCAAGCAGTCCAATCAAGATACATTCTGTGTTTGAAGGGAAAGAAGAACCACCCTTCCCATTTGCCTTGCGGGACAGAGGGGTGGGTTTTTGCAAGCATGGTGCCGTCTTGTTTACAGAATTAGAATACTCACTATGGGGATGAAGGGCCACACCAACTTAGGCATGGGGAGAGATGAGGGAGAGAGGGGCCACTGAGGAGCACACCACCCACAGAGCAAGGCAATCCTTTACCAGTACAATCCTTTACCAGTACTCCACAGCGGAGTGGAGGAAGATGTGGGACTAGGAATACAGTGGGATGAGCCACTTACATACAGAGTGTAAATAAATGCCCCCTGAATTCTTGGATGTAATAGAAAATTTACTTTGAGAAAAATCAAAGGCTTTCATAATCATTGTAAAATGTTTTTCATATTTATCACAGTTCTTATAAATAAATAGGTTGACATTCCTAGAAAATAAGAGAGTCAAGCTATCAGCTTATAAAGTCCATTATAAAGCTACTGTTCACAATCTAATGGGATCCCATCCATCAGTTTATAGCAACTTCCAAAAGTATGACATCACCCCAAAAATTCTTAATGTAGACTGTATTAGGTCTTCACAATGAGGCTTCACAATTATGATTTCAATATTGACAACATTCCTTTCTACAGAAACCCACAAAGTAGCAAAGCAAACTAGAAATCTGGATTCTATTTTGGGTATACAAATGTTAAATGTAAAAGTTACTGCCACTAAACCCTTGACTCAAAATAAATTTTAAAAAAAGAAGACGTGAGAAATAATATCAAGGAATCCTTCAGAACTGACAAGGAAGACAGAATATGTCGGTCAAACAATAAAGAGGAAAGACGGTAGAGAGATTGCTCAATGGTTAGTGCACTTGCTGCTTTACAAGAAGACTGGAATCTAGTTCCCAGCACTCATATTGTATGGCTCACAACTGTCTGGGTACCCAACACATGTAGAACACACATACAGCCAGGCACATAGCTATCCACGCAAATTAAAGAAAATATAAATAAACGTTTTTATAAAGAATTTTAAAAGGGAGAAATGGCGCAGTGGTCAAGAGCACTGGCAGAGGACCTGGGTTCAATGCCCCACACCCACACGGTGCCTTACAACCACCTATAATTCCAGGGATCCGACACTCTCCCCTGGCCTCCTTGGGTACAAGACATGTACATGGCGTATGTCCACGCAGGCAAGCAAAGCGCCTACCTACATAAACAAATTAATACGTTTTTGAAAGAATTAAAAGCAAGAATTTAATACTAAAAATAATTAAAAATAAGAATTTAAAAGAATGAAATAACATTTTAAAAAGAATTAAACATAGTACAAATGTATCCTAAGTTTGTGTGTCTCTATCATGCCTCATACACGGGAGACTCCCCCGGTGGCAAAGGGAGATTTGGTCTTTGTTTAAATAGAGAAAATTTTAGTATTATGCAAAATTCACTGAGAGGGACGTAACGCCAACACAAATACCAGTTTACTTTGATTCATTCTAGCAAACTAAGACATCTGAATATGTCTTAAAATTATTTCTTCTCCATTAGGAGGTAAAGTATCCTTTGTGGATGTGATTGGCCCATAAATGGTATCAATGGAGATACTGGCAACTGTATGGTTTCTCTCTCTCTCTCTCTCTCTCTCTCTCTCTCTCTCTGTGTGTGTGTGTGTGTGTGTGTGTGTGTGACAGAGAGAGAGAGAGGATGTGTGTTGCTTTTTATTGTATTGTATCAAGCTAATTCACCTGGTTCTAATTCTTTCTTTCTGGATAGTTTCAAATTTCATCCAAATAGCCCTGTCTTTAATAAATACACTGCTTAGAGACAATCCTTTATTTATAGGCTGAAAGGGCAACAAAGGAATTGATGTCATCTTTTTATTCCTTCTAATTCAAATGCAGAGATTTAAGTTTTTATTTAAAATTCATAACCTAAGATACTTTTTCCTTAACAATCAATTTCCTTTCTGTCATCAGGTCACTAATTTCAAATCTCCAGGTTGAAGAAACCACAGTTCTAATGTGAGTCACCAATACTTCACACTAAATGGAAGATACAACTGTGTTTTCCAAGTAGCTATAGTGTGAAACCAAGACACCAGTTAGGACTATTAATGAAAAGGTGTCAAGGTACCAGTAAAGACACCTGAACCCAAGGTTGACAGGAGGCATGGAGAGCCAAGAAAGGACCATGGAATGAAGGGGAGAAGGGAGGAAGCAGAGCAGACACTGAACTTCTTGCTTTCATTCTCTATGAGAATGTTTAGAAACATTAATAACTATGACTCTCAGCATCTGCTTCAGTACCCTGCTGGGTAGAGGCTTTCAGAGGTCCTCTGTGGTTAGGCTCCTGACTTGTTCCCTAGTTTCTCCCTCTTTTATGTCCATCCCGTTTACCTTTCTGAATGAGGATTGATCATCTTACCCAGGATCTTCCTTCTTACTTAGCTTCTTTAGGTGTACAGATTTTAGTATGTTTATCCTATATTATATATCTAATAGCCAAACTTTGGGCAGAGTGCAGGGATTCTTATGAGAAGGGGGAGATGAAAGACCTGGAGGGGACTGGAGCTCCACAAGTAGAGGAACAGAACCAAAAAAATCTAGACCCAAGGGGTCTTTTATGAGACTGATACTCCAGCCAAGGACCATTCATGGAGATAACCTAGCACCTCTGCACAGATGTAGCCAGCTCAGTCTCAAGTGGGTTCCCTAGTAAGGGGAACAGGGACTGTCTCTGACATGAACTAAGTGGCTGGCTCTTTGACCACCTCCCCATGAGGTGGGAGCAGCCTTACCAGGCCACAGAGGAAGACAATGCAGACAGTCCCAATGAGACCTGATAGGTTAGGGTCAGATGGAAGGGGAGGAGGACCTCCCCTATCAGTGGACTGGGGAGGGGCAAGGGGGAAGAAAAGGGAGGGAGGGTGGGATTGGGAGGAGATGAGGGAGATGAGGGAGGTACAGCTGGGATACAAAGTGACTAAATTGTAATTAATAATAACAATAATAATCAATGATAATAAAATTTTAAAAAGAAACATTAATAACAAGTCTTCCTTCTCTGCTAATAATGCATCCCAGAAGAAAGAGGACAAACAGAAATCAGAGCTTGTCCTGGGGCTCATGAATCTTGTCTATCTTATCCATGCAGAAGATCTTGCTGGAATAGTTACCACATGTGCCACATGACATAAAAAATGCAAGATGGTAATAAAGCTAGAACACAGTAAGAAAGGGAAAAAAGGGAAAGAGGAAGGGGGGGTATCTTAAATACTGCGCGCTGGGGAGCTGAGAGTCCCCAGACCTGCAGCTTGCTTTTTGGAGCTCAAGGAGAAAAGAGAAGCACTCTTTGTATCGGAAGTTTTTAATTAAAATAGTATGCATTTCACACAGACAAGAACACTCCCAAATCAGTCTTTAAATATGAGAACTACACAATAATCTGTTCACAGGAAGTGTGAAGTAATTAAATTTCAAAGTGAAGTTTATATTGAGGGCAGTGGATGAGAGCAGATCCCAGGAGAACCCTACATGGCTCATAAGCTTTCTATTTTTAAGTCAGAATTCACTTTTGAAAATTAAGCAAACTCTTCCAATGTGAATCCTTTCTTATAGCTGTATTTTCATAAAAGTTTACTGTGTAAAAGTTCTGTCTCTGCTTCCTTATGTTGCTGCTCTTTCTCCCAATGCCGAGATATATTCACAATGACACTGTGAATACGCTGTTATTTCAACTCCCCCATGCCCTGGGCTAAAGTGAGGCAAGCAGCAGCAACTCCATTCTGCCAAGTCTCTGAGAAACTGTCCCTCAGCACTGTACACACAGGACAAAAGTAATTCTCAGAATTTACTTTACTAACTCCTCTAAGGTCTTCAAAGTAATATAACTGGAATCCATTCTTGTCTGCATCATCCTGAAGAGCAACATTTTGGGACATAGGTTTAATTTTATCAAAGTTAAATTAAATCTATGATGTGACAGGTGTGCCAGGAGAGAAGGATTTTACTACACTTAGAAAGATGGTTGTGGAAGCCGGACCGACACTTCTGGAACTTCCTGGTGTTTTACATACTGGAACCAACTGCATGTCTGCTCTGGAACTGAAGGAGTTTAAAGGCACATTGCAGACAAGGCTTACCTTCACTGGAGCTGCACACTGTGAAATCACGCACTAGCCGGGATCTTCCTGAAGAGATTTTGGGAGATGAGCAGGAATACGAGCGTGATCGGATTCCGGAGAGCAAGGACTCCTGGGAAAGACCGCGTCATCACCAGTCACTCTCAACAAAGAAAACCCTGACCTGCACATTTCATCCCCACAGTTATTTACTTGTCCTGGGAATTGAACCCAGGGCCCTGTGCATGACCCACAGGGACTCCACCACTGAGCTATGCCCCAGGCTGTGTTCTCTAGCTAGTTTTGAGACATGGTCATACTAAGTTGCCCAGGGTGGCAAGGAGCTTGGCATGGTCCATCTCGGTCTCCGAGTAACTGGGTTAGGAGACCTACTCCCCAGCATTCCTTACATGAGCCTCTCAGTTATCTGTTCTGTTTGCCTCTCAACACTTTAGTGTTTTCCTTTCTATTTAATGCTTTGATAAACTTGAGCTTTGTGAAATAGTTCTCATACATGTAAAAAAAAAAAAAAAAAACCTTTGAGTCATTTCAACAGCTTGGTTAAAAAGGAGAAAATTAAGTCACATAACGTTTTCTCTGAATGTTTAACTGTGGCTTTAATTTGTTTTTCATATGGATTATTACTTTTTTGTTAGTTTAGACTTCCACATTCAAACAAAATTCTGAACTAACTGAGATCTTCACCCTCAAGCAATTTTAAAAGGTGGAGAAATACCTACTTCCAATTACAAGAGGTTTCAAGCTTTCCAGTGGCTGTTTATAGTGTTAGCTGTGTGGAGCTAGTTCACCTGGGGACACTGTTTAATAGACTTCCCACCTGCACTTCTCAGGGGGATGCTAGCAATGAGTTATATGACTTTACTATGGTTCTTTGTAAATGACTCGCCATATTCGTTCCTGTTTCCCAATTGCATGTTATTTCTATTATTATGTTTGCAACATACATAAAAATGCAAGAGGACAAGATGATTAAAACATGGTTTTCTTACATGTTCGGGAAATTTTAGATGAATATGGAATAGAAGCCATTACAGCCAAGCATGGTATCTAACTCCTGTTCCACAGTGCCCTTGGCGTTGATCCTGCCCATGTATTTTTGAGATACTATTTTGTGGTGGGGGTTAAGTGAAAGCGATGCAGAATTCTTTACTAAAATCGAGCCTTCACCAACTGCTCTAGGTCAGACTTGGTCTTGCCTGTTCTTCCTGAGTGAAAACACATGGTCCCTTGGCAGTCGTGAGTTAAAAAGCTCAAGGCAAAGATGAATGCAGAAGCCTGACCTGGCTCTGAAGGGCCTGGGCTCAGCGGCCTGTCTGGAAGCGATGAGTGGCTGGACACTGAGTCAGGCTCTAACCGAGTGGAGCATGGACCACAGAGGGTCTTGCCAGATGCCTCCTCTTCACTTACGTCACACACAGAAACCATCGTTCATGACAATGAGACTTTGGGAACTATCCAAAACCTTTTGGTGAAATTATGCTGGGTAGTTATAGAGCAAGGCAAGCTGTACTTTATAGGACAGAATCTTCCAGTGAAAGTGAATGTGAAACTGCTTCCAAAGAACTATATTTCATTCCGAGGAATGGCAATGTCTTCACCTTCCATTCAAAACTCGAAACTAGCTGGCATTAACCTTCACAATCATAACCATTCTTTCTTGACTAGGATCCTCCCCACATGCATTCTGATTACCCAGAATTATCACATGATGTTCAGGTTCAAACAATAACGATCTCCAGGTTGCAGAGGAAAAAGGATTCGGGATGGGCATTAGAAGTCCTTAATTTGAGTAGTGACATGTGACCAATCTGCGGCCACCTAGACAAAACTCCAACCCTTCCAAAACATGAAATAAAAGTGCTATTTATATCTTAGCTGGGCTATGAAGAACTTGTGAACTTTGCACAAATATCAAGCCATTTTATATATTACAGGAACACTGCAAAAGTAAGGTACCATCCAATTAGGCACATGTTCTTCATAGAACTTTGACATCCCACACATTGTTTTATAGCAGTGAATGCAATTTAAGAAGAAAATGAGTGGATGATAACTCAGATAGAAAAAATACATATGTTCAAACAGGAACAAATGAAGCTTGTGAAACTATCAAGAAGAGTAAAACTTCAAGATGACTTAGTGGGTGGCATTGGAGATTAGCTCATGAAGCCAGGAACACCCAGCGAACGTCATCTCTGACTTACTGACATCATCCACCTCCTCGCCTGGAACACGCTAAAGGTTATATGTGCAAACAAGCTTGACCACATAAACCCAGTATCACCAGTTTCCCAACCTCTGCCTCAAGAAGGAATATTATATGAAAGAGAAACATGTCCCAAGTATGCAAAAATGGCATGTACTCCTTGGGAGTCAATAACATCAAGCAACCACTGGAAAAGCTGTAAAACTCAAGACAGAGCCCTGGAGATTGAAAAGCGGCATCACATGAGTCCCCACCAACATGCAGGCACTTCTTTTGCAGGAAGAAGACAAAGTCTGCCCTCCAGGTAGAGATGAGGACACTGAGAACACACCCTGTTCGTTTGAGATAAGCAGAACCCTGAGAAGTATACCTTGGAATGCAGATTATTTGACAGAGAAAGTGATTCGGTCCTGGAGATATTACAATCTGGTTCGGTGTTGGTCTCAAAAGAGTCCATTTCGTCTCCACTGGGAAGCCCAGTTCTCGGGGAACTCTGAGACCCGGAGGCATAGCGGATGGGGGCCTCAGAGCGCTCTTCTCCTTCGCTGTCGGCAACCAGGGCATCCAGGCTAGAACTGAAGCACAAAATTAATCACTCGGTGAGCAGCCAGGCAGACACCGGGTTCTGTTTTCCTGCATTCGGAGTCTCTCATTGGTGTGAGATGAAATGAGGAGTCATGCAATCGCTCACCGATAATAGTTTTTATACCCCCCTCCCATTATCTTCTGGAGCAAATATTTTCATCCTTTTTCCCCTTTTCTTTGTCTGTACACAAGCGGATGGGGGTGTGCGCGCGCGCCTCCCGCCGAGGACAACATTGGAGTAAGACAGTCACTGTAAAATAGCGACGCCAGAGGGATAGTTATTCTATAACATCTTGGCTAAAGCTGAGAAGGAACTGTGAAAATGAACAACTTAACTGCAGGTTTTTGTCACGGGGTAAATTTTGATCACAACTTCTTATTGCCTCCTTAGGGAAGACAACTGGGACTAAGCCGCTGTCACCCAACAACGCCCGTTACTTTCCTACTAGGCCTTCAGACTGGTTTGTATGTTATGGTAAACCCACACTTCCCAAAATCACTAGCTCTGGCTCTGGCTTTTTTCCTGCCTGCTGCTCATCTTTTCTATAAACCTGTACATCCTTTGTGCACAGAGGTAGGATTCAGAATGGATTCTGGGAGCTTAGGCTGTCCTGCTAAGTTAGGGGAAGTCCTCTGTGTCGTTTTTAGATGCGGGGCAGGCAGAGAGCTGCAGCATCTGGATTTGTGCGTGTTGCCCCATCAGATACTGCTCTAACCTTCAGGAAGTGGTTTTCCTCTATTGCACTTCCATTGGCTTTCTTAACTGCCTTAATTTTCAAATCAAATATAGATAGGAAATAATGGGGGCAACACTTTGATATAGAGATAAAGATAATAGGGACAATTTTCAAAATGAAACTTCACCCCCCCCCCATTTCCTGCAGTTTTCTTCCAGAACAAAGCATCTCACCTTCTTTTCTTGAGATGACTCTGCTCCTTTTCAAATTCATGAAGACCAAATGAAAGGTTCAAGCTGGAAGTGTGAGAACTGGCTGGTGACAGACAGAGCTGTGGCGTCGCAGTGTTCACTGTCTCCTCGATGTCCTCACCAAGAGGATGCCCACAGGGACCAGTGTTGGGAGGAAGGATGTGCTTGCAAGCCTGAGGCCCCAGAGTGGACCTCATGGATTCGGGGCTGGTATGGGTGGAGAGTCCCTCTATATTAATATAGCTGATGTCCAAATCACCAACCTGGACATTGGAAGAGAACATTTTGTCAAGCAAAAGCAGGAAAGAGTGCTCTGATCAAAGTCAACAAAACTCCCAGAGTTTAAGAAAAGAAAAGAAAACAAAACAAAACAACCCTCCTCCATTGCTGGTGGAAACATAAACTTGTACAACCACTACGAAAATCAATTTGGCACTTTCTCAGACAATTAGAAATAAGGCTACCTCAAGATCCAGCTATATCACTCCTAGGCATATATCCAAAAGATGCTCAAGTATACATACAACAAGGACATTTGCTCAACCATGTTCAGAGCAGCTTTATTCATAATAGCCAGAATCTGGAAACAACCCAGATGTCCCTCAGTTAAGGAATGGATACAGACATTGTGGTATATTTACACAATGGAATACTACTCAGCAATTAAAAACAAGGAAATCATGAAATTTGCAGGCAAATGGTGGGAACGAGAAAAGATCTTCCTGAGTGAGGTATCCCAGAAACAGAAAGACACACATGGTATATGCTCACTTATAAGTGGATATTATACATATCATATGGATAATCATATTAATATCTATATACCTAAAGAAGCTAAGCAAGGAGGACCCTGAGAAAGATGCTCAATCTTCTTTCAGAAAGGCAAATGGGATACACATCAGAAAAAGGTGAAAATAAGGAAGACAGGAGCCTGCCACAGAGGGCCTCTGAAAGACTCTACCCACCAGGGTATCAAAGCAGATGTTGAGACTTATAGCCAAACTTTGGACAGAGTGGAGGGAATCTTAAGAAAGAAGGGGGAGACAGAAAGACCTGGAAGGGTCTGGAGCTCTACAAGGAAACAACAGAATCAATAAATCTGGGCCTAGGGGTCTTTTCTGAGACTGACATTCCAACCAAGGAGATAACCTAGGTCCCTTGCACAGAGGTAGCCCATGGCAGCTCACTCTTCAAATGGGTTCCCTAGTAAGGGGAGCAGGGGCTGTCTCTGACATGAACTCAGTGGCTCTTTGATTACCTCCCCATGAGGGGGGAACAGCCTGACCAGGCCACAGAGGAGGACTATGAAAAACAGTCCTAATGAGACCTGATAGACTAGGGTCAGATGGAAGGGGAGGAGGTCTTCACTATCAGTAGACTGGGGAATGGGAAGAGATGAGGGAGGGAGGGAAGGAGGGAGGGAGGGAGGGAGGGAGGGAGGGAGGGAGGGAGGGATTGGGAGAGAATGACAGTGGGGCTACAGCTGGGATACAAAGTGAATAATTTGTAATAAATAAATTTTATTACAAAATCTCCAATACATTAATCTTTTGCAGCAAATGAGACTCTAAGAGGAACAGGAATGGCTACAACTGAGGGTAATACCTCAGGCAGTAAAGTGCTGAAGACCTGGTTCTAACTGCCAGAACATGTAAAAGCCAGGGATGGTGGTGTGTGTGTGACCCCAACAATGGAAGGAAAGACACAGAGATGCCCATAGCTTGCTGTCCAGCCAGTCTAGCAAAGCTCATCTTAACTGCACAAATTTGACAATCCTCTGCTATGTTTATTGAATTGGAATCTCTGCATTCTCCTTTTCCTGTTTGTTTTTATTAAAGCAACATTTCTCTCACCTAAAGTATTCATGAACAAAATTATATCCAGCTTCATCTTCTGGATTTCCCCACCAATTTTGGAACATTGTAAAGACAGTTTCTCCACATAAAGTTAAAACATTCACAATAGTTGGGGTCAATGGAAGGAGAATTAATAATCTGTCCAGTGAGGCTTAGAACAAGATGGAATAAAGACTCAAAAAAGTCCACTGAAATCTCTTAAGACAATACCATGACAACAAATATCTACCTGCTGAAAACTATAAAACACTGCTGAAGGATTTTCAAACGGACACATAGAAATGCAAAGATACCCTTGGGATCAGAGGTGGACAGCTGGTGTCCTCTGACCTCTACATTTGCACTGTGGCTTATACATACCTAGACTCTCTCTCTCTTTCTCTCTCTCTCTCTCTCTCTCTCTCTCTCTCTCTCTCTCTCTCTCACACACACACACACACACACACACACACACAGCAATAACAATCAATTTCTAAAAGAGCAAAGGGCCTAAACAAAAATTTTTCCAAAGAAGATTCCCTAATAGCCACCACATACATGAAAAGACCACCAATCATCATGGAAATGCAAATCAGAACCACAGTGAAGCATTGTGTTAAAGATGTTACCAAAAGGCAGCAGAAGAGATAGTGAGGCACAGAGAAGGGAGCTCCGGCACGCTACTGATGGAGGATATAAATTAGCTCAGCCATCAGTGAAAACAGCAGAGAGACTCCTCAAAAAACTAAATCCAACAGCTGCACAATCCAGAAACCCACCTCTGGGCACATATCCAAGGGAAACACAATCACTCTCCTCAGGAACCAGCTCTACTCCCATGTGCTCCGAAGCATTATCATGGGTTCACAGCGTATGTGACTCTCAACACAATGCCTTGCATATTTCAGTGCATATTATTTTGTCAACTGTCCTCCAAAGGGGCTAGGAAATAAATCTTATATATTATCACAAATATAATAAATCATACATGGAAGTATCCACTTGTGTCTGAGTGTGGCTAATACACACAGTCTAACAATCCTGAATGCTGAAGGGCTCACTCCACACCCCAACGCCAATATCTGTAGTTTTGGCTAACAGATGGTTTATGTCAAGGTGGCCACACAAGTGATTTACAGATGGTATCCATTCAGATTTATTGGCTTCTCCATCACTTTGAATTCAACCTCAGCGTCTGCCATTTAAAGGATACATTTACTGTAACCCTGTACCATGACGCTAAGACAGAAGAGTAGAGCCCTCAACTGCAGGTTGAAACAGAGACAGATTAGACAAGAAAAATGGTAAACTTCCTTAATGTTCAGTTATTGTGTGTGCATGTACACAAGTGTACATGTGCCTATGGCGTGTCTAATTGGGGATTACTTTACAAGGTAGCAGATAAAGGCAGGGATTTCATGCTATCAAACTTAGCCAAGAAAATCCCTTAAGATTCTACCATAATAAAATGTAAAAAAAAAAATCACATTTATAATAATATTTAATTTTTATAAATACAAAAAAGCTTCAGGATGACTGAGTCGGAGACCAGAAGCAAAGCTAAGGCCCTGAGCTTGAGCCCACAAGTCCCCATTGGGAAAGGAAGAGAGAAATTCTAAACGTCCCAGCTTTCTCATGACAGGACACTGTTCTTTTCGCACATCAAAGTTCTACGATCTTAATACACATAAGCTGGCACATTATAGGGATTAAAGATGATATATGTGACCACATCAGCTGGGCTGGGACCAGGTATCTACCTGCTCATTACTGTCCACTAGATTTAAATACACACATACAGTGACACACACACACACACACACACACACACAGAGAGAGACGCAGAGACAGACAGAGCTTATTGAAAAGCTATATGGATGATATTGGTAGCTCACTGGCATTTCCTGTTTGGCTTCACCAAAGTGCTTTCTCATTCCTCCTGGCTATACTCAAGATCCTTCCCCACCAGCGCTTCTCCATCTTTTTGGAAAAGTAGTTCAAATCCCCTGGTCAAATCCCTGACCAGGTCAGCATGCTGTACCTGGTCAATCACCATACAGTTAGCATAGACTTCATCACCCCCGTTCAGCACGTCAGAGAACTGGCCTGCAGCAAGAGACATTGGGCCATGCTTGGATTTTTTGAGGTCATCAAAGGAGTGATCTAGAAGAAATGAACAGGACTGAGAAATTATGAAGTATGAGCAATTCATCTTACAACCAAGTTTTACCTTCTTAGTCAAACAAACAAACAAACAAACAAACAAACAAACAAACCAAAAAGCATTCAGGTTTGTTTGTTGTTTTTTTTTAAGTGCACTTTTTACACGGTATTTTCAGTCTTCATACCTTAAGATCTACAGTGCAAGTACATTCATTTCTAAACCTCTGTTATCTAGAAGTTGAATAGTTCTAGACAGGTAAATATTAGTGCACTGCAAGCATCGATTCCTTTAAATTCTCATACATTAAACCCAACTCCACTTCCTTTACAAGTAACATGGAAGCATCAGTTAGTATCACATTTCTTAAGTACGTGACAGGTTCAGACAGGATGAGTTACTAACGATCCAATGACAGCACAGAAGCCGGCAATGGTGGCTCTGGGTCACCCACAAACCCTTGCTGCTCTTTCTTTTACTTTGAATCACAGAAATTGACTTTTCTTGCTTCTGTGGTCTGAGCTTTGCTCCAAATAGTAAAAGTTGCTCGAAGTGAGGCCCTGCAGAGTTGAGATGCTACTGTGTTTTCGGAGAGCACAGGGTTGAAGGCAATAAAACCTCTGCAAGCTGGAGCCGGGCCTCCTGTGCCTGGTTTGTTTATTCCATCTGCAGACACCTTTGTGGAGCCTCCCCATCTGTAAAAGGACGCTAACAGCACTCTTTTCTTTGTGTGCTGAATAAAATAGGCCTGGATACGAACAGCAGTTGACAGTAAGTGCTCTGTTAAATTGATACGTCACTGTTGTTTATGTTTGCGTTCGTTATTATGATCTTTAATCATGGCCAACATGAAGTACAAGGATAGTGATACTAACCACAGTATTGTATCTGTAATTGACATTAATTTCATAGATAAATGGTATATCCACAGATAACCTAGCAAGTTATCAAGATAATGGATACAAAAGGGAAGGAGCACTGTTGGGTGTGGTCACACACACGCCTTCAAACCAGCAGAGAGGCAGGCCCAGGCGGATCTCTGGGAGTTTTGAGATCAGCCTGGTCTACATAGCAGCTGGTCTATGTAGCCAGAGCTGGTCTAAACCAGCCAGAGCTACATACTAAGACCCTGTCTTTAAAACAAAAGAAGGGACAGTACTGCCCTGAAGACCGTTAAAATTGGCATGTGTCTCACTGCCTGCCTCACCTCTGTCACAGGGCAAAATCAGACTGTGAACCATGACTTGTGAGTTGATGTGCTATGATTAAATGTTCTACTTTTCTGTAGAAAGTTCTGGAGACATAAAAGATATAAAGATATATGAAACAAAATGGCCCTGGCTTCCAATTACAAATCTAGATCTACTTTTCCCCACAGAACATTAAAACAAAGTTTTACTAAGCTTCTTAAGAAAATATACAAAATAGAGAAAAGTGTTTTCTTATACCCATAATGGGTTATTTCACTAATTTTTTTTTTTTTTTTTTTTTTTTTTTTTTTTTTTTTTTTTTTTTTTTAGCTAGCTAGCAATGTGATACACACGTAGCCCACAGGCCCTTGGCAAGTATGACCTTTATGATCAATGGCCATACATATTCATTCTAATTATACAGAAGAGGCTCCAACAGTTATAAATCAAGGATTCGATGTTCTTCAGAGTCAGGAACCACTTGCTCATTTGTCATTCTGGAGAATGTTTGAAAGCAATCACGAATAATACAGCATGGCCTTGTGGCATGTGACCAGTCAAGCCGGGCTGTTTTACAGACGTGAAACACCCGGTATGCCTGCCATCACACTTAGAGGCTGTTCATCTCCTTCCCGACGGCTGCCCTGTAAGGACTTCATTCACCACAGGATTAACCCAAGAACTGATAAGGCAACAAGCAATGAATAGATTTTACTTTAAAGACACGGAATCAAGTGAAATCTCACCCTACATTGTGGAGCCTTGATGAAGGTATTGCTCTGGCTGTGTGCAAGTATACATACTCACATACAAGTGCCTGGGGAAGCCCAGGGAGGCATGAAGAGGGGGACAGGTCCCCTGGGACTGGAGTTACAGGTGGCACTGAGCCTGCAGATAAAGTACTCAGACTTGAACTCTGATTCTCTGAAAGAGCAAGTACTCTTTAACAGTCATCTCTCCCAGGAGCCTTGGTCTTAATGACCAAGAGCTTTGTGTTCAGAACTCTGAGCACTTGCTCCAGCGATGAGCAGGACCAGAATTACTGCTTTTTTTTTTTTTCCAGCACATAAGTAGAATGCACTTTGTCCACTATAAACCTGAGTCCTACATGCCATGGCAGGGTATATATGGAGACTCTGTCCATGTCACAAAGTAACCTACAAGTTACTGAGTATGGAAACTTAAGAGTCTAATTAAAAAAAAAAACAGTTTAATTTGTTTTCTGAATTATTGATTTGATTAGGGCTTAGCAAATGATCTGCTTGAATTACAGACTATGAATGATCCCTTAGCATTAACATAAAATATTTAAAGCTCTGAAAAATCAAACTTTTTCTTCAAACATTTGGTTCACAAATGCATTTTGTGGCCAGTGAGACTGAACTCATGTACACTCTGTCTCTCCCCCACTGAAGGCCAGCATTTAGACGTTGCCACCGACATGCTTCTAGTCTCAGTGTGGTGCTCTAACGTGTCTGAGGATAGTCACAACTCGTGAAGTAGAAGCCCTAAAGGTAATTCCCAAAGACACGGATCTAAGACGGAGAAAGAAGAGATGGTGAGCGCCTAAAATAGCTGCCACAGCTGACATTGAACATCTCAAACCTTTGTCTTTCCTCTCTCAGTTCCACATGTTGCTATAGCAGTGGTTCTTGATCAGTAGGTCGTGCCCCCTTTGGGGGTGCAGGGTGATCCTTTCACAGTGGCCCTGCATACCACATGTTTACATTGAGATTCATAACATTAGCAAAAGGAGTTCGGATGTAGCAACAAAAGTAACTTTATGATTGGGGGTCACCACCACATGAGGAACTGTGTTACAGGGCCTCTCACAGCATTAGGAAGGTTGAGAGCCAGAGCAACACATTTACGTTGCCATGACTTTGTTAGTATTTCCATCAAATCCACTTGCTTTTCCCCCTTTAAATGACGTTACTTTGAAAGAACTACCTTATCCCTAGTATAAACCGAAAGCCAGTCTTTCCTGACACAGTGGGAATGAATGGGAAAGCTAAAGGCTACAGAATTGAAGCAATACTGTAAATTCCAAGGGTTGTTACCTATGCAAGCTATGGAAGACAGAGAGGCCTGCTTCTCTGTTAGACGTATGGAGATTCTGAAGGACACAAGAAGCACCTGCATCTAATGCAGCCAGTTGAACTCTTCTTTCTAAGGATGGACAAAGCAATAGAAACTGATTGGCTGGGAAGATGGGGAGATAGCTTGGTCAGTACCTCACTTGCCACACAAGCATTAGAATCAGAGTTCAACTTCCAGAACCCATGTGTGTCAGGAAGAAAGCTGTACATGCTTCCACATGCTTGGAATCCCAGTTCTGAGGAGGAAGTCACATCCCTGGAGCTTGCTAATCAGCCAGCCAAGCCACTTGGCCAGTCCCATGCCAATGTATTTTACTCTTACTCTTCTAAAGTCAAATACAAGGTGGCCAACACTTGAGGAAGGACACTGGGGCCATACTTAGGCTTCCCCAAGCATGAACACACATGTACACACATGCACACATAGGAACATGCATGCACACGTATGCACATGGGCCTGCACACACACACAGCAACACACAGAACAACTTGAAAAAGTCATACCTAATTATTACAGGTTGACTGTGCAATGTCCCCTATAAGCTTGTATATTTGAACACTTGGTCCCCAGCTAGGGGTACTGTTCTGGGAGGCTGGCTGGCAGGCACTGACAGGCAGTGAAGGTTGTCCCCATGTGAGAAGTCACAGCTACACGTGCCCATGACCCAGACTGAGCCTCTCCCACCATACCTTCCCTCCACTGGGTCTGTGACCCAAACAAGCCTCCTTCCCTTAAACTACTGCTGTCAGAGTGCTTGTACAGAGAGAAGAAAAGACTAACCCTGACAGTGTAGGTAGGCGCAAGTAGCTCAGTATAAGTGGCGTGGCAGGACCTAATTTGATGCTAGCCACCTCCAAGACAGCTGCTACCAGACCTTGTCATCACTGTGTCACTCAAGGATGACACACTGTGACAAAGTCTCTCCAGGGTCGGGCTTGGATGTTTATGTGTAGTTTTGATTTTTTAAAACAACTTTGTGCAGGTCACGTAGTTCAATGGATCAAAGGCCAAGCCTGGTAAGTCCCATCCCAGGATCCAGGCAAAGCAGAAGGAGAGATCTGACTCCAGAAAGCTGTCCTCTGACTCACACTCACACACACACTCACACATACACACACACAATTCACTCTTAACTATAACTTTACATGTTTAAAAATAACCCCATAATCCCAGCACTTAGGAGGTAGAGTCAAAAGGATCAAGAGTTCAAGGTGGCTACATGGTGAGTTTAAGGGCAGCCTAGGCTACATGAGGCCCTGCCTCATAAAACGCAAAGCAAAACAGCAGCAAAGCCCAAGGCAACTGAACACAACAAACATTGGGCGTGCTACAAAAAATAAATAAATAAATAGAATTTTTAAAATGCTACTTTTATCTCAGTTCCAACAGGATTTCTCTCCAATGACTCAGGAGCAAAGACTTCTAAGTCTGAGAGGTTATAGCTGCAGAGGGAAAAAGACCAGTCAGATATGGCGCTTCCCCAGAACAGCGGGGGCGGCTCAGGAATGAGAGGGTATGACAAGACAGGGGATGAAGACCAGCTTCTTCCTGGAGTGCCTGCAGGATCCACAGCTGCTCAGGGGGTCCCCAGTCCTCCCTCAGTTAATATCCTCACTACTGGGTAGCTCCCCCCAGCTCCCAACCAGATTCCCATCAGTACTTCTTTGCTATGCTAGCTGCTCTAGTGACAAGGGAAATGACAAGGGAAAGAT